ATGCATTTACGTTGCCCGAGCGTCCACAGACATGTTTGTGTATTTATACTTTTGGGGGCATTTTATATCGTATCAAGAGTAACACCCCATTAAACATACATTATGCAAGAGCCTGAAATGTTATCTAAATTATTAATTAGACATTAATGAACTTATCCAGACCACAATCAACTCTCGATGGTATCGCTAGCGATGCGATGTTTATTGGATTACGTTCCAATTTGCTGTTCGTCGACTTTTATTCATAATTAAATCAAAAAAGTGGATAATCGAGACTATGTTTTTTTTTATCCCCCCGACTTTAGTAATGATGATCGAGACTAGCCCCAGTATACAGTCGCTTGTAATTCGGTTCATAGTGGATCAATTCGAATGACATTTTCAGCAAATTCTCTTTACAGTATCTAGTTTTTAACTATTAGAATGAGAACTGTCAGCTCTTTATCTAATCTCCTATAATGTATCTTTAAGAGTTTAACAGAAATGCTTAAAATTTTATGGGCTTTTCGTTCTTCCTTGTGCATCGATTTTAAGTCAATAGTGTGATAACTTCATCCGAGAGAGGGAGGCGGGGGGGTATGACAAAAAATGTGGGATCTTTTTCGGGGTCGTATATTCTCTTGATAAATTACAAATCATAGATAGTATTTGTGTTTAAATTGAAAATCACGTCACTACATAAAATATAACTGTTAACTCACGAATGGGTCAAAGGTTACATCATTTAAATCATGCCATATTCAGAGTTGTCAACTCTCGTATGATATACAAGATTATATAAGTACACCTTATCTATAGAGAGGTAGCACTAATAATATATAGTTTATAACTCACATATATCACATATCTACACTTAAACGATATATCTCAAATAAACACCATCGTTTGGTATTATATGAATACACTAATATCTGTCATAAAATACTTGAATTTTTATACAATTTCATTCCAATTAAAAAGGTGTTAAATTTGCGCTTTAGATCCAATTTTGAAGGTTAATCTGATCTTAAACTGTCGAAAACACGCACATTGGTAAAATAAATATGTTCCGTTTATCCTCATAATTTGTAGCCTCGGTCGCAGTGGTTCAATTAGATTTTCTGCTGTGGGAGACCAAGTGTAAGAGACTATAAAATTTTTGGACAAGGAACTGGGGACCAACCGCTACTGAAATTGTTGTTTGTGTTGTCATTCTTGGTTGCGACGCTCTTCGAAAAAAGCCTAGCCTCCACCAATCCATACGAGCGACATGGAACTTGGAATGTTTGTTCCTTGGACAATTTCGCACCGATTGGCGTACTTCCTGGTCCATACTACACTAGTACTGCATCAACAAATTTCAATGGTTGTTTTACTTTCTATGGAAGCACACCTTTAATGCTGTTTTTCATCTTAGAGCTTATTTTATATTTTGTATAACCTGATTGGTCTATTTATTCTTGTATTGAAAATAACTACCAGACAGCAATGCTATAAAAGGCTTAAAGACGATATCAGTAAATCTTAATATTTTAAACTCTGTCGTAAGGCATTAAGATTGTTTTTCTTTATGATCGTAATAGCTCCAATTGTTTTTGACATTTCAAATTACCTTTATCTAAATGATTATTTCCATTATCTAGAAAAATATCGAGATATATGGAGATATTTATTTATGGTGGGTCACCCTACGACAGGGCTAATTTTACAGTTATATGCCATACAGTGTGCTGTGGGAGAATTTTTGGCCGGACAGCAGCACTACGGCCCATTCTTATTTCGAATTCGAACTGTCAAAGGTTCTTTTACGTGCACGCCAATACGTACACTAATCCGACGGATTAGACACTATTCTTGCCAGGACCTTCACCCTACATCACTGACAAGGGGAAACTTTCTCGGCCATCCCCGGGGGCGAACCCGAGAGCACATGGTTAGCGAACCAGTATCTTACTTACCGAGCCACCGCGGTTCCTCAATATGGACATGGAATTTGACATTTAATTGCGTTTCCATTAATCCAAATAAAGTTAAATAAAGTTATTATCACGGAAATTCTTTGTCGGACAGCGGCGCTATGGTCTGCTCTTATTTCGAATTCATGCTGTAAAGGCATTCTTTACGTGCAACACGTGGATCGAACCCCTGAAGTGGTTTATAAACCAACGCCTTACTCCCGGCTCCCGGTTTGTATAAAGGTCCCTCTTAAGGACTATGTAGCTGGGTGATAGTGTACAACAAATGGTATTGGAGACAGACCATTTAGGTTTACATACGATAACATAAACGGGTAATTGAAAGAGATAAGGATCCGTTGAGATAACTAACATTGCGTGGATTGGCATATTAAACATTCATTAAGGAACTGAGTTTATTGATTGTGAAGATATTATTTATTTAAGTTGATGGAATATGTCCTAGATATATTAGAATACAATCACTATATTTATTTCACCGCTATTTTAAACGTTGTTACAAAAGACTATTACTACTGCTACTACTACTACTACTACTACTCCTGCTACTACTACCGCTACAACTGCAGCTACTAATACTACTACTACTACTACTACTACTACTGCTGCTACTGCTGCTACTGCTACTACTACTCCTGCTACTACTACCGCTACAACTGCAGCTACTACTACTACTACTACTACTACTACTACTACTGCTGCTGCTGCTGCTGCAACTACTACTACTACTACTACTACTACTACTACTACTACTACAACTACTGCTACTACTACTACAACTACTTCTCCTGCTGCTACTACTGCCACTACTACTACTACTACCACTACCTCTACTGCTACTACTACTACTACTACTGCTACTACTACTACTACTGCTACAACTGCTGCTACTACTACTACCTCTACTGCTACTGCTACTACTACTACTACAACTACTGCTACTACTACTACTACTACAACTACTACTCCTGCTACTACTACTACTACCTCTACTACTACTACCTTTACTGCTACTACTACTACTACTACTACAATTTGGGATTGAGGTCCGCTTCCATTTTTAGTGTACACATCTATTTTCACGTTAACAGAACTTTATTTATCGTAGATATTCGTTACATTAAACTATTATATTAATAAAGTATTGTTCTGTTGTTATAAATATATTGATACTACAACCATGGTGTCAAATAATATTACCAATATTTAATTTATTTTTGTCATGACTTACAAGATTATTTGAATTTTTCTTATATTGCATTCTTGTGTGCTTTCGTAATATATCCCCCGGTTGTACGTGATGGCCGAATGGTTGTGCGCGCTGTCTCATAAGGTCTGTCATTGAGTCAACTGGCGTGGTTTCGATTCCCCGGTTGTGTGTGACAAACTGACAAGGAGTTGGATCACCTGTCCACCCTCGTGGGTTTTCTCTCGGTCCTCGGGTTTCCCCCCACTGCTAAAGACCCCTACGCGCAAGGGAATTATTGAAATTAAATTGGATCAATTTTCTTGGAATCAACACTGTTTGTCAATTCTCTATAAATTTACAATAGCATAAATTCTACATTTATTTAAGGTTCCGGTATAATACTACGATTACCCAACCATAGACCTTATTATAAGGTCCATGGCCCATCTAATCTTGACTGTTGGAACAGTGCAATGGGGGTTATTTTCGGGGCTTGAGGGATTTTGAGTGCACTTCAAAGCGGATCGGTGGCGGGGGGCGACCGACCATTTGGAAATTTAACTACTGTTTCAAGAAAATTGTTTCGCATCGCTTGTGCTTTTATGTACTGATTTTTCTTGACCTCTTGCGAGACGCATAAATATGTAACTTACTACTGATTTGTCAATTATATAAAATATCTAATTACGGTACAATCAACATGTCTTTTATTATAAAAACACGTAGAAGAATATTTGCATCTATCAACATTCAAAGAGCTAGAAAAAATTGATATTTCTCGGTCCGCTCGAGGTTCTTTCTTTTCTTATATCTCTTTGTCGGGCATACTAGGTGTTTCCACATTCCGGACGGTAAGAAATCAAAAATGCGCTACGGAAAAGTTGTAAGAAGACAGGGAAATAAAAATGTCACTGTCATAATATGTATATTATAACTCATAGTATAGTGAGTTACTCGGGTGGTATATTATTACTCATAGTATAATGAGTTACTCAGGTGGTAATTAATCTGTTTAACATGTGACCTCAGGTCCACTTATCTTGTATATCTCACTCTTCGGGTAGACACGCTTCGATCAACATCTTATTGTAAGACTTGTGTGATTCGTTAATAAACATTAAACTTATATGAGTTGTTAATGAGTTTCACAAGTATGAAGAAGCATAACAGTCACAAACTGTTTATAAATTTTCCTTTTTCTAGCCCACTTTCCCCGGGATTTTCTTCTCGAAAATCGCAAGAAAAGATCCCAATCAACATTAACACGTAAAAAGTGTATTTGTAACTATCAAGCTTCACAGAGTTAGAATTAATTTATTTTTCTGGTAACGCTCGGGTTCTTTCTTTATCAGGGAGGGGGGGGGGGCGAATGGTTAGCACGTGCGCGCTGTATCATAAGGCCTGTCATTGAGTGAACTTGCGTGGTTTCGAATCCCCGGTTGTACGTGACAAGGAGTAGGGTCGCCTGTCCAACCTCCGGTTTCCTCCCACTGCTAAAGACCCCTACGCGCAAGGAATTATTGAAATAAAATTAAACCAAATGTTAGTACCGAAATGACTTTATTTGTGTCGAATGGACGATAAACCCCATATATCTCTTTCTTTATCTTAGATCTCTTTGTAGGGAATGTCAGAAATAAGAAATTCTTGACTGTTTTATGTAATAATTTCCACTGTTATGTTCACTTGTCGTGGGTTTATTCCGGGATAAACGGTAAGACAAAGGTCCAAAATCTGTTTAATTCGATTCGCTCGGCGACAATCTCGTGTGCCCCCGCCCCTTCATTGTACCAGATAATAATATCGGGTTTTCCAGTAAATAAGTAAGTCACGTGATTTTTACATTAAAGCAAATCACGTGATCGTAAAGATGGCGGACTCTGCAAATCTAATATTTCCTCAAGGTATTTTTGTATTTTAAAAAGATTATCACAGAACCCTTCAACTAGTAATTCAAAGTATTATAACATAGATAAAAGCAATCAAATTTGAAGATACAAAAAAAATCAATTTACAAGGGTTTTTTTTAGCATAGGATGCTGTTTAACAATAAAACTGTAGCCAAGTTGAAGTTACTTTACAGTCTCCGTCTGAAGTGAAAGTCTACATTTCTTCAGAAATATTACACTGTTTTATGTTGAGAGAATGAAGCCATCGTGTCAGCAGACTCAGTACTAACCTACTGAAAAACGTAGCATTGGTCTGTTCAGCTTTTGTTATTATTATTGATTTTTTTTAATTAGACTACCTTTTTTCATTGACTCAATGACTGCCATACATGGACCTTATAATATGTATTATAATATAAGATCCATGCCCTGCGGTACTGCCTTTGTATTTCAGGTTTGACAGAATCATTATGTTTTTGTGAGAACATTCCTGAAGAACTATTATTAAAAATAGTAAGTTAATCATGGTATTAAAACTAAACACTCTCACCAAAAATCCCAACCTGAATAAAATTCAGTTCTATATTTCATTTCGTTTTTTTTACATTTCGATGGCCCCTGCTACAGGGAAGTCGCATCATTTGATATCAGACATTTGATTAACCAATCAGCGTTGATGTTTTTAGGAGGTTAGCCACAGTTCCGTGCACCTCGCGCCAAAAACTTGGCGTAACAGACCGTTTCATTTTCTATACCCTCACATGATTCAGAACGCAGGTTATATAACAACTCTTCCAGAACCTAGTGTAGTAAAGAAATTTTAAACTATAAAAAACAAAGCGAAATAGGATCTGTGTTTAAATCAGATTGCAAAAATCCAAGTACTGATACTTAAGTGCTTAAATCACAGAGGGGGGTTGGATGGCTGAATGGTTAGCGTGCGCGCGCTGTATCATAAAGTCTGTCATTGAGTCGACTGGCGTGGTTTTGAATCCCCGGTTGTACGTGACAAGGAGTAGGGTCGCCTGTCCAACCTCATGGGTTTTCTCCGGGTCCTCCGGTTTCCTCCCACTGCTAAAGACCCCTACGCGCAAGCGAATTATTGAAATAAAATTAAAAAAAACAATTAAAAAAACCAAAAAAAACCCCATATGTTAGTCCCGAAATGACCTAGTTTGTGTCGAGTGGACGTTAAACCCTATTTCTCTCTCTCTCTCTCTCTCTCTCTTTAAATCACAGATTTATCTTCTCTGCATATATATATATATATGAAACCTAATTTGATCATGCATGTTACAATTGAACGATGGGCAGGGAATATCTGTTATAAATAAATGGAGATGATATTGATTGACAGCCTGTCTGTCTTGAAAACCCTGTTCATGAAATAAACATTATTTATTACCAACCATTCAACACCACCAAAGGCCTAAATACTTCTTTAAATAGGGTAAATTTGACAGAATGCTTTTGTTGAAAATCATGGTTTAGGGCCATTCCGTGTCAAATTACCCAACTCATATTCCAAATTTTTAGCTTGATCCGACTGACGCTTCCTGGGATACATCCCTCTCAATTTGGGGAATTTCGGCGAAAATGTGCATGGCCGCCATTATTTAAATGACCATTACTCAGTGACCAATTGGCCAAAATTGCTGAAATAAGAATTTCTGGAATGGGAATTCTACAAGGATTCCAAATATGCTCTTATTTCTTCCAAGTTTCACTGTAGGGCTGGACGAAATTTGGAATTTTCATTATGGCTATATCAATATAAAAATTCATAATATATTGCCATTATTGCAATATTATACTGCTTCAAGACAAAAGGCTCAAAAACAGGTGGTAAACCGTTTAAACAGATTTCTATAAGATGCATGTAAAATTAAATCATTGTAAAATAAAATATAATATTTTTTCAGAGAATATTATTAGGAAAGGAGAGAAAGAGTCAAGCGATATATTGAATTAATATTGAATTATTGCCGTATCCAAAAAAATATAGTCAATAAGATTTACATATTCCAATATATTGATCTATAATGGTCATTGTCCAGCTGTAGTTAAACACAAAACTTTATACAGCTCTGTCGAGTATTGATTTATAAAGTACGACCAATCTAATTTATACTTTGTTTCAATTAAATACAATAATCTTTGAGAGAATATTGTTGGAGGAATGGCGATATTCTAAAGTCAAACGATATATTGGATTATTGCAGTATTTTTAACAGGAAAAAAAAAATATTATCAATAAAATTTACATATTGCGATATATTGATATATTGAAATTATTGCCCAGCCCTATATCACGGATGTTATTGCCTCCATGTCTGGTGACAGTAAATGTATAGCCCACAATCATACCAAAAATTGGGGGGGGGGGTTGTTGAATTGTTAGTAGTGCGCGCTGTATCATAAGGTCTGTCTTTGAGTCAACTGGGGTGGTTTCGATTCCCTGGTTGTACTTCACAAGGAGGTCGCCTGTCCAATCTTGTGGGTTTTCTCCGGGTCCTCCGGTTTCATCCCACTTCTAAAGATCTCTACGCACAATCAAATTATTTAAATAAAACTGAACCTTATGTTAGTCCCGTAATGACCTAGTTTGTGTGGAGTGGACATTAAACCCCATCTCACTGTTGGCTTGTCAGATTTTAGTTAGTTAAGAATTTACTCAAAATTGTTCGCCCTATTTTAACTAAATTAAATAGCCCCTTATAAACACCCCTCTCTCTCTCTCTCTCTCTCTCTCTCTCTCTCTCTCTCTCTCTCTCTTTCTCTCTCTCTCCCCCCCCCCCCAATACCAAAAATTACATTAGGACTGCATTATCTGTCGTTAGAACTCAAGTCAAATCAGTTGTGCATTTTTAGAATGATTCTCAGTATATCATAAAATGTCTTGATGTTCGAGACTAACAGTTCCCTTTATAATTATATGTCAATCTGATCAAAACACAGATCCTATTTCATTTCGTTTTTTTTAGTTCAAAATTTTGTTTAACTTGTCTTTATATAACCTGTATTCTGGATGATGTGAGGGATTATCCAATGAAGTGGTCTGGTACAGTGACTTCTTGGTGTGCTCTGCACGGATATGTGGGTAAAGCACTACAAACGTCAACGCTGATTGATTAATCAATGTCTGACTTCATAAGGTCAAAAGCCACTCATACAACCTCTGATTCGACCTTCTACTATAACCGGTCAGATCTTCATGTAGTGAAGGCCATCAAAAGTATATAAAAAAAAAACGAAATATAGATCTATATTTTAATCAGCTTGAATTTAATGTAAAACAACTATTTTAATATTTAGTAATGAATATAATATTCGTACTTTGCCTTGCACTTTGATGGAACTATTTTAATATTTGGTAATGAATATAATATGTACGGTAAATGTAATTGTTAAAAACATAAAATATCCAGTTAACAAACTTTTTGAGTGAGAACCTTGCATTGCTCTGTTAGATTTGTTTAAAATTGGATACGAGAAGAGTGAACGTCAACACTTCCTTGACAGAGTAACTATAGCTCGGCAGGCTGGTAGATTTACAATGGTACTGAATCAGGAAGATGGTACCTGTGGGGCCAGAGAGCAATAAATTTAATTTAGGAATTTGAGAAAGGGTATTAAAAAATCTCTACTTTACACCAAGTTTGTTGTTCTACGGTTATGCGGGGATTCCTAAATTTAATTTGTTTAAAATTATTATATTTTATTTCAGTGTTATGATGTATTAGATTTTCAACAGATGAAACTATCAAGTTTACCCTATGATTTATATGAGAATGTATGTTTATTTATTGTTTTTATTAAAATTATTATATTTTGGACGCCAACTGTTACTCATCTTATTCATGTTGTTGTTCTAGTAGGGAGCGCTACTCATCTTATTCATGTAGGGAGCGATGATCTTGGAAAAACGCCCAAAACTCTGTCAATTTAAATACAATTGATTTGAAACTTGGCATGCTTGTTCCTTTGACAATTGTGCAACAATTGACAAATTTCCATTTTCAATATGATGTCACAATTCACAATCTGATTAAAACACAAATCCTAATCAGATTATCACAATTCCATCATGGCTGTGATAATGTTATACTCGGTACCTGGTCAGTAGCATGATGGCTGTGATAATGCTATACTCAGTACTTGGTCAGTAGCATGGTGGCCGTGATAATGTTATACTCAGTACCTGATCAGCAGCACGATGGCTGTGATAATGTTATACTCAATACCTGGTCTGTAGCATGGTGGCCGTGATAATGCTATACTCGGTACCTGGTCAGTAGCATGGTGGCCGTGATAATGTTATACTCAGTACCTGATCAGCAGCACGATGGCTGTGATAATGTTATACTCAATACCTGGTCAGTAGCATGGTGGCCGTGATAATGTTATACTCAATACCTGGTCAGTAGAATGGTGGCCGTGATAATGCTATACTCGGTACCTGGTCAGTAGCATGATGGTACTTCTTTTTAATGTTTTGTCCTTAAATCGGAATCATAGGATTGTTTTGAGGCATTGACCTAACCCCCCAGTCAATTTTTTCACCTCCGAAATAAAGAAATTTTGGGGAAACAAATAACAAAACTGTAACTTTGTCCTCTTTTAGAAATGCTTTTTTTCTCTGAGTACCTCAATTAAATTCATAAACATCTACAATGGCTGATTTGGTGTTGAAACATTGTGTACTTTTAATCATGTAGTAATTTGTAAAGATATTAGCAGCATATCTACAATGGGAGTAGACCAGGTAAAAGTCAAGATGAGTTATCCACATAGAATTTTAAGGAGTTAATTATTCAGTGATTGTGTAAGTGCATTTTTTATTTTGAGTGATTTTTTTTGCAGGATTTATGTTCCAAGAATAGAATAGAAAACATAGTTCGAGCTATTTCCTTTATATACAGGTAAAAAGATACCAGATCCTTTAACAGAACCGTCTAATTAATATACAAATTCAAATTTACGATCAGATTTTTTAGACTTTAATTGGCTTACTTGACACAAGCGGTTTAGAATGAGAGAGAGAGAGAAATGGGGTTTAAATCCATCCAACAAAACTAGGTCATTTTGGGACTAACATGGTTCAATTCTATTTCAATAATTTGCAGTTATAGTCTAAGAAACCTAATCAAAAATTCGAACTTGTGTTTTAACCCATTGAACCTGGGTATATGTACTGTAAATGGGGAAAAATTTGACAATTTTCAGTGACAAAATATAAAAAAGCTAATCCCCCAAAGTGCCAGCAAAGGGGATATTCTGCAACTCGGCAATCCCTAGCACTATTCCTGATTAGTGCTGATTAGTGAGCCAAGCAAGAACAGCCCCCCACCACATTGTACACATGTTGGTAGCTATCATTGAGCATGCATGTAAAAGAAACCTTGCTAGTTAGTATTGGACACAGATGTTAATTTACAGACAGAAACATTGCATGGAACTTTGCTGTTTACTTGTCCATTTTGGAACTTGTCTTTTTTTTTTTTAGTTTATACTCACCATAGGCAAAGGTTAACATAAATTTTATTGATGCTTTAATGGTCCATTAATGATAGATCAATATTAAATTACAGATTATAAATATTTGATTATTTATTTGAAAAGAAATATTCCATCATGTCTGTTTTTTAATACAATGTAATTGTCATCTCATGAATTATTCATGTCTGTTGTTTAATACAATGTAATTGTCATCTCATGAATTATTCATGATTATCCTCTATTTTTCTAGAAACATAATGGACAGCTTTTGTTTTATACATGTTTCAGAACAGCGGCTCAAAATAAGGAAACAGACAATGAACTAAGATCTCGTTTATTGTCCATGTCGATTTTATCTAATAATACAATCAATACAATTCTACGAGGCTGGCAGAAAGAGGTGGGTATGATAAAACACAGTTCATTTAATAATTTAATCATTGGAAAGATACAGGTCTTTTGAAATGAGAATACATTAAAGGATACCGGAAAAGCTTCATAAATTAGCAATTTCCGTCGTTGTCCTTGTGTAGTCGTAACTTTCCGATAATACACAAGCTGTGATGTCATTTCAGTCCTTCTGCACATATATAGACTAGAATACGAGCAAAAGGACTAAGATGACATCACAGATTATTTATTGACGAGGAGCTCACGGAGAATGGCGGAAATCTACCTGTGGCAGGTAACATTGACATTCGGGATCGTGCTATACTTATGGAAAGGATATGTTGAGATAAATCCTTGCATTCTTTAAGTAATTATGAAGGTTTTCCAGTGAATTTTAAATATTAGCTTGTGTCCATTTAGAGTCACAATGAACCAGACTTTTTCTTTTATACCGTCTTATTACCCCAGTTCAGAGCAGAACAGTAGGACGTTAAACCCTATTTCATTTCATTTTTTCTTTTATAAGATTGGTCTTATTAAAAATGCATTATGTAAGAGCTAAATCTGCTTATTATTTAGACATTTATTCACATTACAAGCCTATAATCAACTCTCTACAACATCAGATGGCAGAGATGCAAACAGATTAAAATATTATCACCATTTAATGATTTGATTTAAAAATGGAGAAGCGAGGCTGAGTCTTGATTAACAAGTAACATTACTACGATAAACAATCTATGTAAAAACTTCAAACAGTGATAATGTCACTCAGATTAAAGTAATTTAAATGAAGTTTCCAATATATTAATTTAGAATTATCTATTTTGGAACTATTATAGAAAAAACGGCCAAGTTTTTATCTAAATCTTACATAATGTATCTTTAATCAATCAATTAATCTGTAAACAATTATATGATATGAGCTCGGCTTCATCTGTGATATGTTTCTAGCTCTGGTCTTCGATCTAACAGTTCGATCCCTGCATTGGCCGAGAAAGTTCTTCCAGATTTTCCGGCGTGGTTCTCCCTTGTCAGTGATGCAGGACGGAGGGGCTGACAAGGAAAGCTGTCTAGTCGTTCGGATGGGACGAAAAACCGAGGTCCCGTGTACACATTGGCGTGCACGTAAAAGATCCCTTGGCAGTTGGAATTCGATATAAGAGTAGGCCGTAGTGCCGCTGTCCTGGCAAAATTTCCCTCATAGCACACTGTATGGCGTATGCCCGTCTTCATTAGCCCAGGTTAGGAGCAGAACAGTAGGATGTTAAACTCCATTTCATTTCATTTCATTTATTTCGATCTAACGGATTATTTGTACATCTTGTGACCGAAGTATAATTCTAACCTATGAGTTTGGGTAAGCTGATCAAAAATATAAAGTTTATTTTGAATCTGATGCATAATAACGGTGAAATAACAAGCTAAGTTTTAGAGCTCCCCTAAACTTTAGCCCTGAATGAAAATTAAAGGTCTATACAATGTTTATTGTTAGTGTGAGTAAGATATAAGCAACAAATATAAGTGAAGAGTCCAGGGGAAGAACGATCTATGTCACATTTTTGTCTTTTCGCATAAAAGGCAAAACAGACTTGTGGAAAAGAATGCTTGACGCGAACAGAATAACGAGTGGGTTTAATTACAACTTTAAAATGATGTTTAATACCAATCATAATTACCAGTACAACAACTGACTTCCACTTTTCAGTCAAATTAAGGTCAAATAAAGGGTACGATGGACGTATTTTTCCGGGAGGCCATTTCAGAAGGGCCGATCGTTTTTACCTGAAATTGATTGTTCCACAGAAAGCTTATACAATTTGCTACCATTTGGCGCCATTAACTGGGGTTCGTTGAAAAAGTGACTTCGATCGCTCTTCAAGTGTTAATAATTTAAAGTTTCCCTTTTAAATGTTTTGAGATTTTGTATATTTACCTATACTTGAAACAATATATTAAATATGGTGTTTTATTTTATAGGGGAAGCAACTCTTATTAACAGATTCTGCTATGAAAGACATTAATGTAGGAAAGGTGAGATTTGACAATTTTTATTTAGTGGGAAGTCCCCCTCGGTGTCATCAGTGGTCTCATTCCACTATACTAACTCGTGAGTTCATCCATGGGCAGGAGCGGATCCAGGAATTTTTGCAGGAGGCGGTTTGCCAGGTTCCTGTTAAGGAAATCTGTCATCGTCGTCTCTAAATTACAAAGGCATACACACAAATTGAGCTTTTTGAAGAGAGAAATCATTTTTATAATGATGTAGGATCACATTGTGATTTAATTTCATTGATGCAAGACATTCAATTTATTTTATGTAGCTGTCCAACGGTAACCTAATTACTAAAATTAGACTATACTTTGTATTTATCTTATTTGTGGAAGGGTTGGATTAGCCATACCAATCACATGATTTCATAGCAGTCGTGGTTGTCCATCGAATTTCTTACAGTGTGCCAGCTTGATTTCTGTTGATCGAGTTTTAAAATCCTTAAAGTGAGCTGGATCTTAGATTTATAGATCCTCGCTTGAACCTGAGAAGTTGTAGGGTCGCCTGTCCAACCTCATAGTTAGCGTGTGTGCCTTGTATCATAAGGCCTGTCATTGAGTCAACTGGCGTGGTTTCAATTCCCCGGTTGTACGTGACAGGGAGTAGGGTCGCCTGTCCAACCTCATAGGTTTTCTCCGGGTCCTCCAGTTTCATCCGACTGCTAAAGACCCCTACGTGCAAGCGAATTATTGAAATAAAAATGAACCATATGTTAGTCCCGAATTGACCTTGTTTGTATCGAGTGGATGTTAAACCCCATTTTCTAATATAATATATTGTATTTGATTAGTTTGAATATGTTAATGATTATTTCAGCTATTAGATATTAAATGGAAGATTGGTATGTCCGTTAGTTCTAGTGAATGTAAACAACTCAACTCGTCATTTGTTTCCATGGTGATAACAGTTGCTGACCAATCAGGAAAAGCTAAACATCACTCCTTAGAAATGACTTTAAAACAGTTTAGGGTTAGTTTTTCTTTCTAACAATATATTAATAAAGTACTAAAATTCTTGTACTTTACTTGGTTTCGATTCCCTGGTTGTACGTGACAGGGAGTAGGATCGCCTGTCAAACCTCGTGGGTTTTCTCCGGGTCCTCCGGTTTCCTCCCACTACTAAAGACCCCTACGCGCAAGCTAATTATTGAAATAAAATTGAACCATGTGTTAGTCTCTAAATGACCTAGTTGAGTGGACGTTAAACCCCATCTCTCTCTCTCTCTCTCTCTCTCTCTCTCTCTCTCTCTCCAGGCCATAGAGATAAGCCTGGGGATTATGTACTGCTGGTATTATTTTGTTTTCTTAATTTAAATGTTAAATAATCAATTTGAGGATGGATTAATAGCAGTAACAAATTATCTGAAAAATACAAATGTTGATTGGTGACTTTAAGTTAGAGAACATGCTGATGTACCTGATGGGATCTCACCCGAGGTGGAACCAGACATAAATCCCCAGTGGTAGTGGTGGGGGTGCACAATTCGTGGCTTTTCTGGCGAACCGATGAATCTGAAATATTATTATTTGATGGACATAGAGATAACAATAGAGCGCAAATTTCAAATGCATAATTCTCAATACTTAAATATTTCAGATTCGTCGGTTCGCCAGAAAAGCGAAGAATTGTGATATCACAATTTTTAAAATGTTTTGCATCAATGAAATTGAATCACAATGTGATCGTATTAATTCATAATAAAAATTGACATCAAACGGGGTGCTGAGTTTTTTGTGAAAAAGACAATAGAGACATGTATTTCCCAAAACTTTTCAAGGCCGACCCCAAAGATACATTGTCTCGGGAACCTGACAAACCTCCTTGTGCAAATATTCCTGGATCCGCCCCCTGTGATTGTATGATCACAACACAAGATGAATGTCAGCTGTATAATACATGTGTTGAATGATACACTATCTACATTTCGATCTGAAAGGATTATTGTTCTGTATATTTAACTTTAGTATTTTTCACTTTTTCAGAATTTGTCCAATCAACTGAAAGAAATGGCCAAATTAATAGATACAGTATGAAGTCTAGAAGATAAATTTTATGTGTTCATTTTAATATTTATATTATTAGCTAGATCTGATTTTAAAAATCTCTGAAACACCAAAGATTAGAGTTATATTTACTAGTACTGGTAATTCTATTTTCCTTTGGGGACGGGGGGGGGGGGGGGGGTGGCCGAATGGTTAGCACATGCGCGCTGTATCATAAGATCTGTCATAAGATATTATTAGTTAGATCTGATTTCAAAAATCTCTGAAACACCAAAGATTAGAGTTATATTTAATAGTACTGGTAATACTTTTTTTCTTTAGGTATGTGCGGGGGGGGGGGGGGGGGGGGGCTGAATGGTTAGCACATGCGCGCTGTATCATAAGGTCTGTCATTGAGTCGAATAGTGTGGTTTTTATTCCCCGGTTGTCCGTGACAAGGAGTAGGGTTGCCTGTCCAACCTTGTGGATTTTCCCCAGGTCCTCTGGTTTCCTGCCAAGCGAATTATTGAAGAAATATTGAACCATATGTTAGTCCCGAAATGACCTAGTTTGTTTCGAGTGGACGTTAAACCCCATTTCTCTCTCTCTCTCTATTTTCCTTGTCAAAATTTTACAGAGATGAAATTTGGAGAAATGTTTAAAGATGTGATAAAAGAAAGCTGTTTACCCGTGCTTGTTATAGGTTGTACTGTATAAGTGGGGTGCATGACATCGATAGTATCCCCTTTTATGTTCAAATAAGCTTTAAATTGATAAATAAATTTTACCTTCCGTATAGACAGACAGACATTGACTTGGTGGTCCACACCAATCATGTCTATTGTATGGATATACACAGCTACTCCCAATCTGATTAGAATACAGATCTATATTTCGTTTCGTTTTTTTATACTTTCGATGGCCTACTCTACATGAAGATCTGACTGGTTATAGTGAGGGGTCGCATCAGAGGTCATACGATCAGCTTTTGACCCTATGACATCTGACATTGATTAATCAATCAGCGTTAATATTTCTAGTTGTTTACCTACAGTTCCGTGCATCGTACACCAAGAACTCGCCGTAACAGATTGTTTCATTGGCTAATCACGTCATCCAGAACACTGGTTATATAACAAATCTTCCAGATCCTAGTGTAGTAAAGACAAGTAAAATGAAATTTTGAAGTATAAAAAACGAAGCGAAATAGGATCTGTGTTTTAATCTGATTGTGCTACTCCAGTTCTGATAGACTGGAAATGACATTCACCAGTCAAGATGTTTAACAATAAGTTTACTTATTAAATTAAGAAGTTTAGAGAATTAATCAGATTGAAATTAGTTGTTTGTAAACCTGATAATGGTAATCCTATTTTCATTGACTAATCTGGTTAAAGGGGCATCATGGGAGATTAGATAAAGAGCTGGCACTTCTCGGCTATAATACTTAAAAAATAGATAAGGTTAAGGAAATATACTGAAAATTTCAGTCAAATTGATCCACTATGAACCGAGATTTTAGCGACTGAATCATTGCTAAAGTCGTTAGGATAAAAACCAAAGTCTCCATTATTCATTTTGACGTTAAATCATTCATCACAAACAGGATTTAAATCCAGTAAATATCTCAAGCTAACGATGACATCGAGAGTTGATTATGGTCTGGATAAGTTAAACGTACATTATGCAAAATCTTACGCCTGAAATGTTATCTAAATTATTATTCAGACATTAATTTATGGCTTTGTTGCTCCCTGACTATTGTTAACTACTGATTATTGTTAACCCCTATCAATTATTTTAATTATCCTTTGATCAATTTATACATTATTATAAATTTCTTATTAATAGGGCTTCAAATTGTGTTTATTTTGTCTATATCAAATATATGGCTTTGTTGCTCCCTGGTCACTGTTAACCCCCATCAATTAACTATATTTAAGTTTTAATTATCCTTTGATCAATTTAACTATTATCTTGTATTATAACAGCATTTATCTATGGCTTCTTTTTTGTTTTACTATAAATATCACCTTTTAGTTTAACTAAATATCATTTGTGCTTGATAACGATAAGAGAATACTTGTCGAAACGTTGTGATATACTTATAAACCAGTGATTGTATTTCCATATAAACTGTGTTGTGTTATTAATTAACTTATCCAGACCATAATCAACTCTCCATGTCATCGCTAGCCTGCGATATTTATTGGATTAGGTTCCGATTTGCTGTTCGACTTCCATTCATGATTTCAGCAAATTGCCTTTACATTATCTATTTTTTAATTATTATAGTGAGAACTGCCATCTCTTTATCTTATCTCCCATAATGTATCTTTAAATAATGTTTATTGGATTAGGTTCCGATTTGCTGTTCGACTTCCATTCATGATTCAGCAAATTCCCTTTACATTATCTATTTTTTAACTATTAAAGTGAGAACTGCCATCTCATTATCTTATCTCCCATAATGTATCTTTAAATAATGTTTATTGGATTAGGTTCCGATTTGCTGTTCGACTTCCATTCATGATTCAGCAAATTCCCTTTACATTATCTAGTTTTTAACTATTATAGTGAGAACTGCCATCTCTTTATTTAATCTCCAATAATGTATCTTTAAGTAAAACTAGAGCTTATATAAGTATAACTTCCGAATTCATATCTTGTTTCATAATTGTATTTTTATTTTATCTTTGATTTAAAGACCTTTTATTACTTGTTGTTAGTATGTTTGTATTATAAAAAAAAATATAAAAAAAAAAAAATATTAGCTTTGTATTATAATATATATATATATTTCTTATCAAACTTTATATTTTTTTTAATTATAGGCTTGGCTTCAGGCTCTTTTTCAATCATGACTTAGTTATATGTTTCATATTGACCTATAAGAGATCTGAATATAATCCGAAATAAACCAACCATGTTTCTAATACTTATTGTACTGTTGAAAGGAGCTAAATCGCCCGTTAGAAAAATAGAGCATTATACCCCATTTCAAATAAAAGAGCTAAATCGCTAATAATTGGGACCTAATAATTGACACAAATAATAATGTAATATGAATGTATATAAACTAATTTACATTCAATCGTTTCTGTTTTTACTCTAATTTCAAATCAGTTATGTTCGACGAAATGCGCCAGAAGTCTCAGTGGAATGACAATCTCTAGAATTTGGTTATTACAGTCTACACCGATAGTATTTATTGCTCATGCTCTCCAGATAAGAATATGTCGTCACCATTTGACATGACTTATGGAATATGTCTAGCCTCGTTCCCCAAGCTCCTTGGATGCATTATGGTACATGATTCGTGCACCAATGTTAAAATGGTTATTTTGTCTTAAATATTGGATATCAGAAGCCCATCTTTTCCTGGCAAGATCACAACAACAATGTTGATTTAAACTGACAAATAATTCGTGTTTTCAATGGCGAAGACTTTGGATGATATTGAGTTAGAGACTTAGCTACTTGAATGGAGAGGACCCATATTCTGTAGAAATTAAAGAATGCATTAGTGACGTCACCACATCTACCAGATCTTACAATATAATGTCCAGGGCCTGATTTTGATTTGGAGGTTAAATTAATAGGGGATAGATAGATTGGGGGGTTCCAAAGAGGGGTGCAATAATATTTACACGCTAACCCTTGTGCGGACACGTCGCAAGAAAAGCCTTGTCGGCAACAAGGGATAATCTAAAACCCCAGACATAGGTTTTTGTATGGATAAAAAATCTGCAAATAACTTAATTGTCATTTCCATGTAGAATCCTCTTTTGACAAGGTTGGTAGAGTACCTAGATTTGTCTTCAAATCTAGATTACTAGAATGACCAACACAATATCATCAGTAAGAATGATTCCAAATACAAAGCTTGCACTGATCCCAGAATAGATTAGGCACTTGTGAGAGGGGAGTGGGGTCCATAAGACCCCTTGTTTCCGATAATGTAATACTCT